CGAGCAACATTTAAGTTATAAGTTGTATTTATAAGAGTATTTATGACTTATGTAGAGAAGGGTTATAATTTTTTTTTCCAATGAGTCTGCTGTCTCTTGGTCTCATTATTAGAACATACCACTATCCTGTGAAAAATCCCTCACCATCCTGACCCTGTCTTTGAACAAGGTGCCTTGGAAAGGAAGCCATTAGCCTAAAATGACGAGAAGGCTTTATCCCAAAGTCTACACAGTGGCTAAGCATGCAGACAACTTGGGAAGCCCTTTCTGTTTCCTGACTTGTAGGATGAAGAGAAGAAAATCTGTAAGGCTCTAAAATATACCAGTAGATTGACCCCAGTGACTGGTAACATAAAACTGTTCTTTTAAGCTACGGGTGACTTGTAGTCCCTTCTGGGGAGGGGAGGTCTTTAGTTATTAGGGCTAAAAACCATAATAATGGCTTTCATCGCTTTGTGGAGTGAATCTATACATATTTATAAGAGATGGTTTAGAAATTATAGCAATTTGATTCTTTGTTTATTTTCATAAACATTTACAAATTAATATAAATATCTCATGCTGTATTGTTTGTTTTGCTGGAATGCACTTATTGAAAATTAAGTGCTTAGTCATAGAACATCTGGGCAGGAATGTGGGTGACTCAGAACAAACTCATCACCATTATCAAAACTCAGAGATAACAGCTTCCCGACAATAAGCCATGGATATCATACTCTTCTACCAAGGGCCGTGGTCCCAACCATTTCTCTTCCCCAAATCTCCCCATATTATTTGGATAGATTTGCTGGCTCCAATGGTAGACTATTGGTAAAAGCAAGAAAGCATGCCATTATTATCTTAAGCTTTTTGTTTGCATTATTTAATGACTTTATACAGTAATAACCATGAAAACACAATTTTCTTTTTACGAATTATATTGATAAAGTCACATAATATGAGACTCATGAATAATAATGGGATAGTCATTTTTTTGGTGGGGAGGGGGACTCGTTTACAAATTCTAGCGGGGAAAAATTGAGAGGTAACTAGCCATTTTTTTTTGTATAAACTAAATCTTAATATTAGCCTTCCTAGGCTTAATAGAAATTAATTTTAAAAAGTCATCACTGCCAGATCTAAACCATAATTCCTATGATGGTAGTTAGTATTTAAATAAGATTACATATACTTTTTTTTAGATAGAGGATTGCATAAATCTGCCTTTTGGAAACCTTTGCTTTAAATATGTTTTCAATTATATGGTGTTACTGTGCCCACAGTGTTCCTATCACAATTGATTGATTTAAACAATCAAAGATTTTTGGAAGGGTCTGGGGTTGTAGCTTAGTGATAGAGCACTTGCCTAGCATGTGTGAGGCACTGAGTTTGATTCTCAGCACCTCGTAAAAATAAAAAAATAAATAAAAATAAAGGCAATAAAGGTTCATCCACAACTAATATATATATATATATATATATGATATATCATATATATTATAGGAAGGGATTAGAGCACTTTCATTCCAAAGAGTGCTGACTTTTTCTTTTCTTTGCTTTTAAACCTTGACACTATTTGAACCAGGCTGAACCTCTGATGTAGACGTAAGGTTTGGTTTTTACTTTAGTGCCTTAGTTTATGATCTATGATATAGATTGAGGATGATATTCTGGGGTTGAAAAATGGAGAAGTTCTTTCTGGAAAGAAAAGAAATATTATCCAGGCTGGAGCTGCCATTTGGAAATTATTGACTCACATTAAGAATAACCTTAAAAATATTAGGTTATTTTTCAAATGATATTCTCAGAGGTGGACAGCCAATTTCACAATAAGAATAACTTAATCTAGTATTGATATTGCTTCAGTATTTCCCAAACACAAAATGCCACTGAGCCTTGACAGTTTCTGCTAGCCAATGGTTCTGGAGAAATCTGAATGGTTCTCCATGTGCTGTCTGGTGTTGGGTGGGTTGGCTGTTACGTCTGTAAAATTCAGATGGGTCCAAATTGAAATATAAGACAAATTAAACTGATTTAATATTTCCTCTGAATTCTAATAACTTAATGTATTTTCTTTCTTTAAAAACATGAGAAGACTGTTCCAGAAAGTTGGAACTTTGACAGGTACAGGGTCTGAAAGAAGGCTGGACTAAATGGCTGATGAGGACATCTTGGACAACATGAAGTTTGGGAGTTCAGGTTGGGTTTTGAAACATTGCAGTTTTACATACACGAAGTTCAAGATTTTGTCTCTGTTTTTAAAATGATGAGTCTTAACAATGAAAGAGTTTTAATTAGAAGTGTGTTTGTGGGGTGCTGACATGATTTCATATACTTTTTTTTTAAGATTATATTTGAGGAGACCATTTTACAGTGGACAAACCTGAACAGTGGTTTAGTACAGTGGTCTAGTTGAAAGAGGATAGTAGTTTTATATCTAATTTAATAAAGGCTTATACTTCATTGGCATAAATACTACGAAAGAGAACATTCTTGTTTTCTCCTCTTACTTCTTCCAGATAGACTTTACCAGATCTTGTTTTCCCATCCCCTCGACCCCACAACATGTAAATAGATTACTTACTGCACACTTAAGACCCAGTGCAGTCCACGTTGGACCAGATCAAAACTCCATCCTCATGTTCACTTTCAGATTCTCCTCCTCCTCTCTACCAGGAACTCTCTGTTAATGGCAGGGTGCCCTGTGCTTTTCAGTACCTTCTCTCCCTTCCGCTATCCCTTCCCCCTTTGGTATGCTGACATTGCCAAGAAGGGATTAAGGGAGAAGGGGTCAAATGCCTTTTCTTTTGGTTCATGATGATGTCATCCTCTCCTGACCATCACTGACTGGTTAATTCTAATGGGCTGAAGATATCCGTTTAGGGACTGCCTTCCAAATGCCTTCTTTATGAAGTACACGTGTGGGGTCTTTCTGTAGTGCTTTAGGGGCCTCCTCCCTGCCCAGGTACTTCCCTGTTCTTACTCCTACCTCTCCTGTCTCACTAGAACCTTCTTGTTGCTGGCTCTTCCTTGCTGAGCAGCCAGTCCTCCTGCACAAGGACCTGGCTAGATGACTCACACCAGAGTAACTGCCATGGTGTCTGCTGGACCCAAGGGACACTTACTCATATGGGCCCAAGCAAATGTGGGAAGTCAAGCTGTTTCTGGTATGCATCTCCAAATTGACATCTCTTTCCAGTTAGTTTTTCTCTTCACTTGAATGGTCATAAGATGCTTATAAACAGGTCTATTAGGAAATAGTCAATAGGAAGCCATTTTATAATCCTTACAAGGAATAAAATCTTGGAGTCCACTTCACCTGACTTTCTAGTGTAGCAATAGTGTCAGTGGAGCTGAATGCTATGGTGCAGACACCTGTAATCCCAGTGACTCAAGAGACTGAGGCAGGAGGATTGCAAATTTGAGACCAGCCTTAGCAACTTAGCAAGGCCCTAAGCAACTTAATGAGACCCTGTCTCAAAAGGGGATGGAGTTGGGTGCTGGGAATGTGTCTCAGTGGTTAAGCACCCCTGTGTTCAATCCCTAGTACCAAAAAACAAACAAAAAAAGTCAGTGGATCTTACTAGTCGATACCCAAAATCATAGAACTCTCTTCTAATTATGATTTCCACTATTGTCATGGAATTCTCTCCTTCCTCCTAATCATCTGCTTATATAGATTTGCAGCACATGACAGGCTAATGGCTGAGGGTTCCATCTGGTTTTGAGATTTTTTTAACATACCCTGTAAAGGTATCTGGGACCCACATACTTTTTGGCTTTTAGAATGTGGGGAAAATTTAATTTTACATTTCCAATCATTTCCAGCTTTTGTCTGTCACCATGGGAAACATCATATTCAGAATCCTACATGGTTTGGACTATCACAATGTTAAAGGAGATGGGGATGATGGTTTAGGGCTTCATGGTAGATTGGACAAGGAAGTGAAAGGGTAGGAAAAAGGGTGAGTCTTGGGTTTCTGTTGTATATTACTCTGTGGAGGTTGGGAAAACACTTGAAGGAGCCCAGGTCTTTCATAACTCCACCCTGCCCCAAGGAATGAGCAAGCAGCAGATGACATGTCACGTGTTCACCTTGGACGTTTTGAGTTTGAGTCAAGGCGAGTTCTGTGAGATGGAGATATATAATTGTGATTATTTTTTACTAGCAATAGCTGAAACCATGAATGTGGATGGCATATAGGGGAGAGTGTTCACAGTGAGAAAGAGTACAACACTTATGCACACTCACAACTATTGAACAAAGACATCTTACAGAAACATCTGTAGAAATTAGAATGGTTTTAAAGAAGTTTGTAGGGCTTCCCTCACTATTCTGAAGTCACATGTTCTTACTATCTCTACCTCTATGTATATAAAATGTGGCACAATTTGTCCAATAAACCCAAGTAGCCTGTTGGTGGACTTGCTGGGTTCCTATAGATCCAAAATATACATAAATTTATTTCATGACAAACAACTCCAACTAGGTTATCTGCTTTAGAATACAACATTCAGAGAGGACCTGAGGATAAAAACCTCAGCACCAATGGCCTGGTAAGAGAAGCCTTGTGCCCAGCTCAGGATGTAGATAGAAATATCCAGGCACAATGGACCCTCCAGGAGAGAGAAACCCACAGTACTGAGGGTTGGGTGGTGAAGCAGAGGCTGTGGCTGTACCAAGGAGCATTTTGAACAAGTTTGAAGATCCTGCTAGAAAACTTGAAGTGGAAAATTTAAAAATTTAGATAGAGATAGTCCAGAACTAAGATTTTTTTTTTTTGTCATTATTATGCATTTGCTCCTAAAATAATGATCCGGAAAAAAAAAAATCAGGGTAGAGTCTCTGAAATTGCCTATTAAATATATAAAGGCTGTGTAGCAATGAATGAGTATAACAGCAATACACAAAATTAATATTGTTCGTCACATCTTTTCCCATCATGTGTGAAAGTTTCTTTTGTTGCCGAACTTGTCCCTCAGATGCCTCTCAGGTAACTGTGATTGTCTTCTATCGGCAGAATCAATGGTTACAGCAGCTGGCCGCGCTGGGACAAGCTCTGCCGAGTAGCTCAGCCCATGACATTCTGGAAGATATGAAGATGCTCACAGGTGAATATGTAGATCCAAAATGCTGCAAGAGCATGTCACGAGGTAAGAACTGCACTTCTAGAACTGGGGCTGTCCAGAGAGCTTCTTGATGCATAATTACTACTACTACTACTACTACTACTACTACTACTAATAATAATAATAATAATAATAATTAATGATCCTTCCTTACTCGAGGAAAGAAACATCTCACTTTAATTCAATCAGAACTGGGCTAGAGTCATTTGAGACTTTAAGAAAGTAGCCCTTTTGCCCAGGCGCACACTTACGTTTTCACTTGCATGTTTATATGGCTTAGGACTCTCAGGACGTGGCTGTCTTCTCTCCCTCTTAGTGTCAAAAAGGTTAGAAAATAGCTTTTACCCCAGTGATTTTCATATGAAGAGAAATTTTTGAAAGAGTTCAATTAATATTTTACGTAAAATATCCAAACTAATGGTAGAGATTTATTTTTGAAGCATCAAAGTTTTTTTTCTTTACATTTTTATTAAAATAATTTTATTTTTGGTAGTCTCATTAACAGTAGTTTGTCTTCTTAAAATTAATTTTATTGTATTGCTTGACTTTCCTATCTCCACTTTACTTTGTCATGGGAAAAGCTCATCTGTTACAAAGACACTTAATGTCCAACAGGGGAATGTGGGGAGGACTGTACCAGAGTCTCAGTGGGGTAAATTCTCTTGAGTGATACTTTTCTAGGGAGTGTTGGTTACCCAGGTGGCCAAAGGTGTGGCTTGCCCAGGATCCTGAATTACCACTTCTGGGGTAACTGTAGTTTCAAGGATAGATATAAGGTTTTTCTGGCTTAGCATATGTGCTAAGGCCAGGGGTGAAGAAAGCATGGCCTATTTGGGCTACTCTGAATAGGTTAGTACAGTGGGGCACAGCAGTAAAGGGAGTCAGAGAGGATAATTTACATGAATCAGTATTTTCCACTCTGCATTCTATGAGCTGCTGTGTACCCCCAGGAGTGTGAAGATGCCACAGAGAGGCAGAGGAAGACACTCCATAACAGAGAGCAACATCCAGGGCATCAGCCTTGAGTGAACTGTTCTCTTTTTAATAAACTCTATGTTAATATTTAAGGCCTAATCTATAAATAAAATATTTATAGATTATAAATCTATAAATATAAAATATTACTTGCATGTATCTGAAAATCCATGAACATGAAACAAGCAGAAGGTTCAAAGAGTTTTATTAGTAATCTCTTGATGATTTTTTTTTTAAAAAGAGGAAATAGAACATTTTGCTAGAACATAATATTAATTATTGATATCTAAGAGTGTTCTCTAAGGCACATGGTGCTCATACTGACTTGCTCTAAGTGGGTGTTAGGGGTCCTGAGGTACTGATTCCCTCTCTCATCAGGAGAGGACAGGAAATCTTGGAAAAATCAGCAAATCCTGGTGGGTTTCACTACTTTGCTGTACAAGTACTATTTTTTCTCTGAATGCCATGATGTTAAACGGATGGGAAGCGTTCTGCTAAAGACCTCTTCTTAATTTTATTCTTGTTTCTGTATCATTTGAAATTTGTGTCTACACACATCATTGTATCAGAAGAGACACTCTAGCTGCCTATTCATAATATAAGAGCCCAGCCTCTATTTTTAAGTATAAATACTTTAGCAAACTATTGAAAAATATTTGATGATCAGGTTCACAAAACTTTGAGGGAAACTAGAATTATCACATAATTACTGCGCAGATACTTCTTTCGGGACACCTTGATAATCTGTGGAATTGGTTTATAAATTGCCACAGAAGATATGGAATGATTGTAAAAAGAGGATTTCCAGTCTAGCCTTCCCTCACCAGCTTTGGCAAGTTACTTAACATCTTAGGTCTCCTAACCTGTGTAATGAGGCTAATCATAACAAGACCTCATTAGTGAGTTGATTAAAATGAACAATCTCATTAGTTAATTGATAAAAGTACTTTGTGTGATGAGGCTTATCATTCATGGGAGTTGTGAAAAGTGCTAGCTATGTGGTATGTGTTAAAAAAAATATCGGCCCATTGTGTTCATTCTCTGGGATCCCTGGGTAGGGTAACCAGATGGTTCTGCTTGGGTAATGATTCAGAGATGCAGGGTTTGTCTGCACAGTGATGTCTTCAGCAGAGCATTCCTGTGTTATCTAACCTCCCCTGACTTCTGACCTTTTTATGAGCTTATAAGGGGACTACTCTTTAGGCTGTGAGCAATCCAATTGCCTTTGATTACATTCCTTTTCTGTTTAAATTAGCCTGAGCTGATCTCCATTGTTTGTAAACAAAAACTGACTAGTAATCTCCATTTGGATGTTTAAGAAACAGATGCTATAACACTGAAGAATCCTGCCCAAGTTTTGCAAGTAGTGAATAGTTGAGAAGGAATTCAACATCGTTTAACCTTAATCCAATATCCCTGAGCTATATTTACTATAATAAATCTTCAGAAATGCCTTCCTTAAAGTATGAACCTTGAGTTTTATTAAGTCATCTGTGAAGGTTATCATATAGGTATTTAATAAATGGTTATACAGGTTGTTTTTGGTATTCAAAAAATCTTTTGTTTTGAGTAATATCAGGAAATTTAGTTGGATACTAAGATATTCAATAAGTTTTTATTTTGTGACACTCTCATTGGTAAATGCTCAGCCCAATATTATGATGCTTTTGATGTCTCTCCTGTTCATTTAGAAGACTCTGTCTTGTACAAAGTACAATGTAAAAAATGCTTTTGAGATATGTTAAAATGTGTGCAATAACAAATAAGTGATGAAGTGCAAACTGTATTTTAATATATTAATGTAATTGATCGAGATGAACTATGATGAATTATTTAACAGTATTTATTGGGAAAAATATTTATAGCAATTCCCTTCAAAGAATGATGAATGCTATGAATTGGGATTGCCTGATTGCCTGGCTATAGACCATTTCCTCCATCACTAGTAGATGGGCTTGGGAAGAGCTGAGTCTGGAGGAGACCTCCAACAAACTAGAGTGGGTGGGGCTTTCCTCTGGAGTTCAGAAACCATGCCATTAGTTTTAAATTCCAATGGTAATTTGGTAAATCTTTCTGGGTTTTTCAGATGTTTACAGGGTGTAACTGGACTGCCCTGGGAGGAGAATGAAGGAGATTTCAAGTGTAAGACACTAGTTCTGAAGGCATCTTGTTATCATTCTCCTTTTTCTTCCTCTCCACCTTTGTATGGGCCGACATGAGTCTGGAGCTTCTCTGGAGTCAGCCTTCACAGATCAACTCTCTCCTTTGCTATCAGCCTCCTCTGGGTATTTTGCATGGTGGCTTTTAATCTGTCAACAGGCTTTCACTCTGTTTCTGTCTTCCAGAAATCTGTTAAAATCTCTTTTATCTTTGGGTGGACCATTCTGTCTGATGTAATGGTTTATTTGTGCATGATCGTTTTGTTGGTGATGTTGGAACTGATAGAGATAAACACTTTGCTCTAAGTTTGCATTCTTGATAAGACTTGCTCAGACTTGGTCCTAAAACTATAATGACTTTTTTGACACTTCTTTGGAAGGATCTTGTGAATTCTCCTCAAACTAAAAGAAAAAAGAAAAAAAAATTACATTGCTATATTTATAATGCTTTGAAATATGCACGAAGCTACTTACATATTTAATATCATTCATCAAGGACACAGAGTGAGATCCTAATCTGCTATAATTGAGGCATCAGTTTTCTCTGTCAAGTGAATCCCTAAAGTTCCCTGTAAGGTGAGAGTAAGATGGACATTCAGATTCTATAGTAAATTTTGGTATTTCCCCATGATGCAAAGCCAAGGTGTTTTCTGTTTGCTTGATAGTTTTTGTCTTTGGGGAAAAAAAACAAATAATTGAGAAAAACCTCAAAGAAAATCTTCCCTGGAATCTTTAAGAACCTCTCTTTTCTTCTCTGTCTGGCTGATTTTGAGATTTTAATATGCCTCAGGGAGGAGTTAGATCATGAATGGAGCAGAAAGTCAAGGCTACCCTTTCGGTTTACATGGGAGGGTGACCAAGCCAGACTTCAACACAGGAGGATTATACCAAGCACGAAGTCAAGATTTCTAACAAATGGAAATTAGGGAAAGACTCAAGTGCACAACACGAAAGTGTAGGCATCTTTACTGAGCAGCCTGATGCAGAGTTCATATTTCCATGCATGGGGGAGATGTGGATGAAGAGCTGAAAATTATTCCTTGAAAGTTGTTTTGTTCATTCATTTATTATCCATTTGTTGATTCCACAAATGTTTATTGAGCTGCTTCCTTTCAGGAGTCTGAGAATCTAGAGGAGAAAATTCTTGGTTTCTTTTTTTCCCCCCTTTTCATAGAGAGGTTAGAATCTAATGTGGGTCTCAACAACTAAAGAGGCTTGATAGTTTTTTCCTAAGATCTAATTAGAGCCAGACCACATCAGGGCAAGTAACAGCTCTGCTAATTATAGTTAAGTAATGGATCATTATATTTTTTAAAAATATAAATATTGGTATTAATAAACACATTAGTGAGAGGGTGGGTAGTCTTAAACTTCAGTTGAACATTGCCTCTATTATTATTAGCAATATTGAGGTAGAGATCTTAAAGGATTCCAAAAGTTTGCAAAGAGACTCAACAAGCAATTTTCTGAAGCCTTACTTGTAAGAAGGAAGAGTGTTTGATGGTCATTGTACTTCATTTCATTTCCCGCTGAGAAAGTAGACGTGACAACTGGTCACCCTGGCCGGATTCCAGAATCAATGTGTTGGATTTTGAGCAACACCTGCCCTTCTTTTCTGCATCCTGAAACTTACCTGAATTCTGCTTGCAATTATGAGAGTTGACAAGGCAAGTGAAAGAGAGTAGGGCCTAAAAATACCATGTACTTTTACAAATCAAGCTGAGAAAAAGTTTGATGGAAAGGAAAGAACCGAGCCTGTGTTTAACAAGCTAAAGCTACATCAAAGGGACAGAAAGAAACCGCTTGATAATAAAAATGTTGCTTTGATTGAAACTGGGCAAAAAGCCAAAGGTACTGGAGACTCAGACACACTGAATTGTTTCAGGATCA